TTGTCAACCAAAACGTATTTTGGGTTTCTTCGAAGAAGATATAAAACCATACGTGCATTTTGCCAACCGGCAACGTTAAAAGATTACTGGGTTTAAACCAAACGTTATACGAAGGTGCGAAAGTAGAGATCAAATACGAAAAGGAACTTTACGAAGCACAAATTCTGAAAATTCACGGTAAGTTTAATGTTAGAAATATAAATATCTAGGATTCTAGGTCTGCAACGCTTGTGTATAAGCATAAAACGTGGTGTGCAATCGCTAACATGAATATTTTCCGACACCCACGGTTTGTTTATGAAAAGCGAAACGCGATAATTTCCGACGATCTACGAATAGAACTCTTTCTCAGCTGCGTCCTCGCCCGCAGACGCAAAGCGGACGCATGGCGCCCGCACAGTGGACGCACCCGCAAGCGCCCGCAGACGCACAGTGGACGCACGATGGACGCACGGCGCCCGCAGGACCGACGTACCCGCGGGTGCCCGTGGACGCACAGTGGACGCAAGATGCCCGCGTCTTGGACGCGGTTTTTGATAAGTTATTTCTTGGCAGTACTGTACCGGTAATTGTGCAATAACTATCCTGCGCCATACTGGTCCAGCCGTCAGTAGTGATGGAGATGTCAGATTTCAATTTTTCTAGCTCGCTCTTCAGAGCTTGTATGCCTGCAGTGTGTCGAAGCATGACCAGTTGACGAATCGTTTCTCGTTTTGGGATTTGGTAGGTTGGCCATGCATGCGCCATGAGATTACGGAACCCAGTATCTTTTACAATGCTAAATGGACGCAAATCTTTAACACAGACGTTGGCAATATGCGCGGTAATCTCTTTTGCTTTGCCTCCTGATAGGTCAATCTTCTTTTGAAAGAAGCTTGTTACCGATGAACAGCCAGCGCTAGTTGATGCGGTTGGTTGGTAAACATTTGAATGGCGTCTAATAAGGTGTTCTCGAAGATTTGTTGTATTGCCATGTCGGCGAATTGTCGCGTCGCAGTGTTTGCATTTCGCTGATGTTTGATTCTCGGCAACAAAATGGTTCCAGACGTCGCTTCCTCTTCGAGACATGAAATAAAAACAAAAAACTGTGCGACAAAGCACAAGTTGAGTGTCTCTCAAAGACTCCAACTAACTAAACTCTTGTAAATATTTTCGCAGTACTGGTGAATCTCGCACGCTAGTAGTGACTTTGACATTTGACCCACGATGTTTTGAATCAACGCACGCAAGTTCCTTTGTTATTTGATCGCAATTTTGTCGCATTTTTTTAATCCGGAAAGAAAATTCTGGCATCACGCTGCGATATAAGCTTGTTATGGATGATCCGATTGTCCGATTGTTGTTAAGCATAATCGATTTCGGAAATATAATCGATTAATCGATTAATCGGGAGCAGCTCTAATTATGGTGTGTACGTACACAAAACTTTTCTTCTACAGTGATTTAAATCCTACCGACCTTTCGCCTCACACTGGCTGTTTTGAGAAGTTTCAGTCCTACAGTAAATTTTACTGGCCTGTTCGCTTCTCACAGGCTGACAATTTTTCATGCAATGAAATATATTCTTCAAGCCAAATAACAAATGGATGTTGATGAATGATAATAAAAAAAAACCTGTCAAAACTACAGTTTACAGTGTCAGTATTATTAAGTGTGGATCAAACAAGAACACAAGCCCATCGCAAGTTTTACTTTACTTGATTTCTGATGCAAAACCCGATTTGATTTGGGCTGAATATTCCGTAATTCTGTTATTCTTTTTAAAACTATGAAAACATGTCCACCTTATATGCAAGTTTTTGCAATCTCTATATGTATTAAATGTTTTGTTTACATGCATGCATCTGCTATTTTTAGCTTGCATGCCAAAAACCATGCATTCAACCATTTCTATATTATTTATCTCAATGTTTCATACATGAAAGATTGAAAAGACTGCATTTTCAAAAATGTGCTTAATGTTTTAACAAAATATCAAATATAATGTGCTGAATGCATTCAAGAAAATGGACATGCAATGAAACATTTCAGCTGATTATCTATTCTTTTGAATGCATTCGGCATATGTAAAATACGATGTTTAGAACATGCCTTTAATATACATCCTGGATGGAAATACAATTCCCAACAGCTATAATACTATGAGTTTTGCCTTTGAAATTTCGAAAACTGCATTGCAATGCCAATGATAGTTTAATTAATTAAAGTGCGGAAACAAGAAAGGTTGACATTAGTAATCATTGTTGTATGATCATGCCCCTGGCTATCGTTTCTCTTGCTCATGCTCGCCCCATGATGCTTAGCTTCTCCCAAGTACTTGTTGCAGTAAAGATGAAAGGATAGAAAAGCACAAAGTTTAACTTATAACAAAATATGGTTTTTGATGCATTAATGTTTTTAATTTTAGAATGAAAATCAAATTGGAAAAGGTTCATCCTCTATTGAATCAAGATCTGCATCGCCATCATCATTGCTTTCTGCTACATCACCAAGGTCATTGTCACCTTCTGCGACATCAAGATCTTCATCACCTTCTGCAACATCAATATCTTCATCACCTTTTGCAACATCAAGATCCTCATCACCTTCTGCGACACCAAAATCCTCGTCACCTTATTATACACCACTTGAGCCTGCAGCATTGTCTACTGTGTCTGATGAGGAAATCACAATAACAAAGTGGCAGCAAGCTTTCGGTTCAGTGAAAGAAGAAACTGATATAAATCCATCCGTTTTAATTCAGTCAGTTTCAATGAAAAGGCCTGCCTACACCATTTATAGTGATGCAGATGTGCTTTGTTCATCCAAGAATGGAGCAATGTCTAGTGACATAAGGAATAGACTAGTACGAGGAACAATACATAACATGGTATCTGCTGCCTCAAGTTCTCCATTTAATAGATTTCCCACTCACTCCGAGATTGAGGAAATGTCAAAGTCCTTAATAATAACATATCCATGCCTCAAAGATGGTGAAACTGGTCATGTAAGTAGACTTACACTTCTGAAAGTTTTACTGTGCATAATTATCAAACATAATTATCTTATTTTATCTTATCTTATAATTAGGCAAAGCCTACCTACTTGCAGGGTTGCCGAGAGGGGGAGGGGGGGTGCAAATTGTCCCGGGGCCCCACCTTAATACTTAGGTTCTTTAATATTGGCTAGCACATTTTTGAAATTGATAGGTGGAGGTGAAAAAATGGCAGGTGAAATTCTATAGATACAGTATATTTCATTCCATTTGTTTACCACAACTCCAATATATACTAGATCATTTAGTTGACTAATAAATATGTTTATATTTAAAATGTAAATCCAAGTTTACTGTACAGTAAAGTAAACAAGTTTAAAAATACTAAAAATGCATATCATGAAAACATTGATTTTTCAATATGACTCATATCAGATATTACCATCATATCAGATATTACCATCATATCAGATATTACCATCATATCAGATATTGCAGTTGAATGAACAAAAATGGCAGGCTAAAGTATATTTCACCTGCCAAAGAATTCTCTACTTCGAGTCAGGGGTCTATAAGCTTGAAAATAAAAAAATATATAATGATGTCATGGGCCCCAGAGAAGATTTGCCCCTGCCCCATGAATTCTATTGGCGGCCCTGCCTACTATAATTTCTAACATATAGTTTTTATTTTCAAAGGGTGTTCTTCTAAAACAACTAAAACGAAGGCTGGGCAACACAAAACCGATCAAAAAGAGGCAAGGACCATGTCCAAAGAAGAGGAAGACCTTCCATACTGGTACATCAAATGTTAAAGAAGAAGAGGTTGCACTGGCAAGTCCTGCTCTGTCTACTAATGGAGAGGACAACTTGGATGGCTCTAGGAATTCCAATAATGGTAAATAATTTTTTTTTGTATGATATAATGTTGTTACTGTAACGTTTTATTGCTAGGTTAGAGATGTTCCATGTTGTTAGGATAGGTAACTTAAGTGGAGTTTTCATTGCCAGGAATATGGTTTTTGCCTTGCTTGGAACTTTGAATCATATTCACATTCTTGCCACTTGGGTAAAGTAGCCTTAGTAACAAGAAATGTTAAAAAGTAAACAGTATATACTGTCTGTAAGTTGCTCTAACTTCCATTCAACTAGCTAACTTCAGTTTTTCATCAATTGATTGATTTTACTGGCCATGGAAATGAAGACAAGGAACTGAGCAATTTAGGAATGAGAAGTCAATTACCAACTAATATTTCTAATTGTTGATTCTTTATACCACAGATGATTGTTCTGATGGTAAAGAAATTATGGGCAGACACTATAACAGTCTCAAAAGAGAAATGGATAAGAAAAATCCGAATGAAGAAGTCGTTAATTGCTACCTAGACAAGGAATATCCTGCCAGACGTGAATGGTTGACAAATATTTTGGCAGAGGAAAGAGCCGTTAGACTTTTGGAAGTCTATCCTTGTTTCAAAGATCATGTTGAGGCATGTTTAATGTAAAATTCAATTCTTTTATAGTTGTACTAGATAAGTAAACAATTTTCAGGCTGTTTAGATTGACATCTCAACTATTTTTAGAGCATAAATGTTGAAAGATTGTTCAGTGTATTAAAGTTAATTACACTGTATCTAAACTTGGGATGCTATTATTATTGTATTGACCAGAAGCACCTCTGTATTAATTAAAAGTAGGATGCCAGTCAAAAGGGTGTGTAGTAATTGCCATATAACAGTAATCCTTACCAGTTGCTATATCCATTCCATTGGACAGGTTGTCGAGGAGGCTAGGAGAGTCCTAATGATTGAAGGCACAGATCGCAAAGATTTCCTAAGGAAATGTGTGGACAGATTAGCCAATGAAGTTGAATTCCTTGTTTATTATGGCATTGATTCCAAAGAAATAAGTCCTCCAAGAAGTCCAAAGCTTAGTAAGTTTCTTCATATACTAAACATGTTGTTAAATCATCTGTTGTGTGCACTATTTATGGAAAAAGCACATTTCTGATTGTAAAATATATGCGCTTTTTGTCTGATGATCAACAGTACCTTGAAAGTACATTCATTTGTCAACTTACTTTACTTCATCCTATAATAGTTTGCAAATGTTGAAAATTATACAGAAAGTACCATACTGTTTTTATCTACAACTGGCATGCACTTACCATCATGATGATTATTAATTGCATTGTAGCCTGCGAACAGGCTCTCAAGCTGAATTGAGAGCCTGCATCGGTGACTAATGACTTTGAATATCTGCCCCGTAACGTTCGTTTTTCCAAATAAGCAATGTCTATCTTTATATGGTGTTGTTTACAACTTTCGTGCAAACTAAATTTAGACCGTGCAAACTAAATTTAGACTGTACAGTTTATACTGTTTTTCGAAGTATAAGATATTCAAGCAAAAGTTCAAATGTTTTAAATACTGTTTTCTCAAAACAGAACATTTTGTGCTTTGAGATAAGATGGCCAAGACCAATTTGATCAGTTTTAATGTGTTTTTTATGCATAATAAGTGCTTCAGCAGTTGACATATATAGAGCTCAGCGGAAACATATAAATTATAGCATCTGACCAATGAAAATTTCGCGTCAGGATTTGAGACACAGATATTCAAATTTATTAGTCATCGATGCAGGCTCTCAATTCAGCTTGAGAGCCTGTTCGCAGGCTAATTGCATTGCTTCCCTAGTGTATGGTGTATTAATATATTTGAATCCCCTGAGTATGACTTGGCTGTGTAAGATTGTATCTCTGTATTCCATATTTACTATTAATATGTTCTTTTATTGTTGTGTAACGTTGGGAAAATGTCTGGAGGTTAAAACCCATTGAGTCGCATTGCGCCCTGATGTGCCCTATTTTATAATTATTTTACGCTGTCTAACACCAAATTATTTCACGCCGGGTCAGCTCTTCCCAAAAATCGGCCATCTGATATAAACTTTTTCAATATATTTCGGATGGACATGAAACTTGCTACATCAATATAACTTTCCATTCCGAACAATCGTATGTTTTTTATTTTTGAGATTTAACGGATTTTGGCGGGAAAATGACGTCACGAAACCTCCAGTTAAAATTTACTTTCAATATCTTAATAGTTTTGTCGCAGAATTTGGAAGAACATGTCGTGAACAGTTCAAAACTGAAAACGGATTTTAAATATCTAAACCTAATCCAAAGTTATTTCACCATAAAAACCGTGAAAAATCTAAAAATAGTAACAAAATGGTGGAAAATTCGATCCTAAACTCCCTGTATCTCGTGATTAGATGAAGATATTTAAAATCTGTTTTCAGTTTTGAACTCTTCATGACACGATCTTCCACATTCTGCTTAAAAACTGTTAAGATATTGAAAATAAATTTTAACTGGAGGTTTCGTGACGTCATTTTCCCGCCAAAAACCGTTAAATCTCAAATATAAAAAACATATGATTGTTCGGAATGGAAAGTTATATTGATGTAGCAAGTTTCATGGCCATCCGAAATATATTGAAAAAGTTTATATTAGATGGCCGATTTGTGAGAACAGCTGACCCGGCGTGATTGCAAAAACCGAGTTTATGATTATTGGATTTCGACAGAGAATCAATGCAAACCAGGATGATATAACTATAGGAATCAATGACTGTGAAATAAATATGGTGAATGCAGTTAAAATGTTAAATCCTCAGGGGTACATATCGCGATAGCCAGTTTTTATGGTCAGTGCACATAGACAAAATTTCTAAAAAATATTGCTTCTGCAATAGTATTTGACTATTCATAACTACAAGTACAGCAATTCAGGTGTATCATGCGTTGATACAGCCTCATTTTGACTACTGCTGCTCCGTTTGGGATGGTGAAGGTGAAAATCTGAAAGAACAGAAATTATAGAACCGGGCGGTCAGGGACATAACAAGGTCGAGTTATGATACAAGCGCCAGTAGTCGGGATAGTTTGCAGTTGGATAAGCCCTCTTTGAGACGCAAGAAACTCAAAACTAATTTGATTTTCAAGATAGTGAAAGAGCATACGCTGATACGCCCTCTTACTTGCAAAATCTTTTCTCTCTTCGTGGCACAAGGCATAATTTCAGGAATTCTGAAGTCAAATTAAAATTACCCAAGCCACTCACTAATTTCTTAAAAAGAAGCTTGAGTTATAGTGGGGCACGATTGTAGAATAGTTTACCGCAATATATACGCATGATTCCACTACTTTACCAATTTAAGAAAGGTACAAATGACTATATAATAATTTCAGCGATATATACATATAGTGGTAACGCAAACTCACACAAGGCAATCTTGTAAAGCTGTTAATGTTTTTCCTTTTGTAAAGTAGTGTATACTGAAGGATTTACCGTGGCTGAATAAAATTTTATTGTATTGTATTGTTATCAAATGAAATCTTGTTTCACCTAAGGTATATTTTATACATTATGCTTCACCAGATGCTTCACCAAGGCGAGTTTTTTGTTTTAGTGACCAAATGAAATTTTTCTTCCTTACAAAAGCGATGTTTACATTTTCCTTCACCCAATGCGAGTTTATATCTTTTATAATGACAAAATATAGTCTTGCTTCTTCATGCACAAAAGCAGTTTTAGTTTTTTACCCAAACTCCAACGCAGTTTTTATGGCCAAAAATGAAATCGTAACTCCTCAAAAGCATATTTTGTGTTGCGCTTCACCAAGAACGAGTTCGCAGATTTGAACGATTATGTCTGCGCCCGGGGATTAAAATCCCGCATTATTGTGCCCTGATTCTCACGTGCCGTTCAACAGAGCGGTGATAATTGGAAACCACAGAGGCGCCGGAATATCGATAATAGCGCGGGCAGATATTCATATATTCGTGTTCACAGACTGTAAAAACAATCGATTTCAAAAGAAATTAATTGGGCAGAACACGAATATATGAATATCTGCCCCCCCCCCGCCCAAATATCGATATTCCGGCGCCTCTGGGAAACCAGGCTGATGCATCCCACAGACAAAGATATATTGCAGGGAATAACTATCAGCAAGTCCTTATAATAAAAGGGGCGTTGCCTAAAAGCGTGCCATATCAATGCAACATATATTTAGCATTATTTGGAGTGATCCGATAATGGCTCTCTCCCATGCTAAAGACTATCTCCATCTTCTTTATTTATCTATTTATTTAGCTTCGCCAATTAGGGCAGGGTCACCAAAACATATGCCAATTACTGTGGACCCTTTTACACCTAACCCACCCCGTCAACTTTGCCTGTGGGAGGAAACCAGAGTACCCGGAGAAAACCCACGACTTTCGGCAGAGCGTTGACTTTTACTCTTTTCACATGAGGACTGGGTTCGAGTCACATTGAGAAAGTTCCTACTGAGATTTGAACCTGCGACCTTAGTGGTGAAAGACAAGTGCACTACCACTTTACCACCTAAGCCCCTTCTACTGCCCCTAAGATCAATAGAAAAATGTGGCTAACGTCTGTTTACATCCAATTCACAATTTAAGATAACTCAGATGCCAAACTATCATTGTTCTAGTGTACAAACGCATAAAATGGAATAACTCCTATACATAACTCTAATACTGAGTTACCTTTGTCCTATGTTATGCTTCTGTAAACTAGAACAATAGTAACCAGGATTGTGAGTTATCTAAAGTTGTGAATTGGGTAGCAATGATGTAAACAAAGTTACCCAAGTTTGTCTATGACCTCCCTAATGACGTCATCCACGAAACTACTTAGACCATCCCAGGTCAGGACATCATACAATGTCAATAAAGTGTTGAGACGTTGCGTCGTGAATGCAATTCGACCGCGGCCTTTGCATTTATTAGCCTTAAATTAAATTAAATCTGGTTTCGGTGAAAAAATTAACTTAACTTCGAAAGACCGAAACAATTCCACCATGAACTATAGTTATAATAAAAACCAAAAATGTCACAATACACTTAAATATTATTTGTCATGGTCTACCTACAATCAGGAGCAAAAATAATGACACTTTTCACGTTTTTGGCCATTTTCAAGTACGTCGGCCTCCCCCTTCCCCCCATGATCAATGTTGGAAAAAGCGAGTTGAAGTTTCTGTTTTCAGTCATCCACACAACATTGAATTGGGGGTGAGGGGGGCATTTATGCGTTTGTCCCAATAATTTTTGCTCCTGATTGAATCAGGAGCAAAAATAATGATACTTTTCACGTTTTTGGCCATTTTCAAGTACGTCGGCCTCCCCCCTCCCCCCATGATCAATGTTGGAAAAAGCGGGTTGAATTTTCTCTTTTCAGTCATCCACACAACATTGAATGGACCATTTGCATTATAGCCTAAATTTTGAGCTAGACACAAAATTTCATCACAGCTTGAAAGAGCATCACAAAATTAGTAATATTCCAAAGTTTCGTTGCGAAATGTTGTAAAATGCGGATAATATAACCATGCGAAGTTTGCCGTTTTTCAGTCATTTTGTATTACGCACGGGAAATTGACAGCTCAATCGGGTGTTGGGGCATCAATTT